GGCCTCAGCTGTCAACTGACAACCCAGTGATCGCCGAGTATCTCCAACGGGGGAGAGACCTGTATGTAAACAATACAGATCTTTCCCCTGTCAGCTCCTGCACACTGCTTTGTATGACTCTGCTTAGCAGAGCCATATAAAGCAGTGTGCTTACAGTGAAACACAGACACAGTCCACGTAGTAAAACAGCACACTGCTAACCCTTTGATCGCCCCTCATGTTAACCCCTTCCTGCCCAGTGCCATTAGTACAGCATCAGTGCTTTTTATTAGCACTGATCACTGTATTGGTATCTTTGGGGATGTCATTGGGGATGTCAATAACACCAAATCAGTTCCCCCCAGTCCCGCTATAAGTCCCTGATCACCGTCATTACTAGTAAAAAATAAAAATAAAAAAATTCCAGTATTTATACCGCCATTTGTAAACGCTATAACCAATTAATTTACACATATTGGGATTTTTTTTTTTAGCAAAGACATGTCGCAGAATACATTTTGGCCTAAAGTTATGACAAAATGTGCTTTTTTATTTTTTTTTTACTGGACATGTTTAATAGCGAAAAGTCAAAAATATTGTTTTTTTTTTTCTCAAAATGTTTTTTTTGTGCAAAAAATAAAAAACCGCACATGCGATCAAATACCAATAACAGAAAGCTCTATTTGTGGGAGAAAAGGACGTAAATTTCATTTGGGTGCAGCGTTGCATGACTGTGCAATTGTCAGTTATAGTAACACAGCGCCGTATCGCAATAAAAAATTGTCTGGTCAGCAAGGGGGGTAAATCCTCTGGAGGGCAAGTGGTTAAATCTATAAACTCTGATTAACTCTGCAATGCACTATAGTGCTTTGCTGCACAAAAAAGCAACATGTTTTATTTTGTCTATCAATGCAGCTTGTTGGTATGAACTGTTGCGATAGGACATATGGCAAATCGCCTTGTCTATGCACTGGGACTGTATTGGGCAATGCTGCCCAAGGCAGCCCAATAGGGCTGGTGTGAACAATCCCTAGGTTAGTGATATGCAGACTTTTAAAATATACGTAAACCCCTTACTTTGTAAAACATCCCATTCAGTTTAAAATAGAAATTAAAGGTAAAACATTTATGTACAGATATAAAAAAAAATATATAAATACCTTTATTTCCCTTTTTTTATAAGTGATCACATTCCCTCTGTTCTCTGCTGGATAGAGAGGTGAGGGTGGAGAAACATCAGGACACTAATCTTCCCAGTGATAGACTGTGCAGGGGGTTGAAGGCATGTCAGCATAAGTTTGATCATTGGAGGAGAGCAGGCTGAGTTCCCAGCACAGCTAGAGAACTTACCGTGCTGTTCTTTCATGCCTAGTGTGGTCAGTATTTAACCTCCATAGCAGTATGATTATTTCAGATTTTTGGTGCTGAAAGCGGTACAATTTTTTTGCATGGAAATATGTATTTTTTTTAATGTAGGCCTGTAATTTAGGAATAACTCACTGAAATCTGTCTGAACAAGAGTCTAGTAAACATCCCGGGTATGATAAAACTTGAAATACAAAATCATAAATTATAATTTAATAAATAATCATTAAAAAAATAATAATATAATAATAATAAATTTAATTAAATAATATAATCAAACCAAAAACACTGAAATTTGAAATATAGCGCCAAGTTAGCACATTGCTGAGCAAAGTCGCAGAATCGTTTTCAGTGTCTGATGACGAATTTCCCCCACGAATCATTATCACTCAATTCTGCAAGTGGTTCTAATTTACTATCACTGTTCTCTAGCTGATCTAAAACCGATTTTGACATAAAGGGACGCTTTTTGGACGCCATGGACATTTCTAAGTTTCCAGGCAGAAAGAACAGTCAAAATGCAGGCAGGGCACAGGACAAAGCAGTAGGGACAAAATGTATGTGAAATGTTTTAAAACAGCAATGTTTTACTACTGTATGTAATAATAATTTTTTAAAAAAGAATACCGCAAGGGAGGTTAATAGGAAAGCAGAGGGACTGGCAAGAACACCAGGGATTTCACACAAAGGAAGCAATCCAAAGAGAACAGGATACTTTTTCATACAAGTACATGGTAAAGCAGGCACATATCAGGCATATGAACAGTGGCGTCCTGAGGCAGGTGCGGGGGGTGTGGTCTGCAGGGGGTGACACCGACCGCATGGGGTGACACCAGACCCGCTCCACAAAAAGGTAAGTTGTAAAGCAAGCCGACGATCCCCTCAGGATGGATCTGATCCATCCTGCGGGGATCGTCGGCTTTCTTTACAACTTACCTTTTCTTGGAGCGGGTCCGGTGTCACCCCGTATAGGTTGCATGCCGACGATCCTGTGGCAATTGTCAGCATGCAACCTATACGGGGTGACACCGGACCTGCTCCAAGAAAAGATAAGTTGTAAAAAAAGCCGCCGATCCCTGCAGGATGGATCGGATCTGCGGATTGAGCATAATGGATCGGAGTCTAATCCATTATGCTCAATCCGCAGATCCGATCCATTCTGCAGGGCTCATCGGAGGGGTTGTCACCAAGTGTTACCGCATCGGGTGACACCAACCCTAGGGACGCCTCTGCATATGAAATATTGGGTTCACATATTAATTAAGCTGGGCTTTGTGCTGGTTTAGTAGTGGGGGGGGGGGGGGGGCTGTTGGCTTCTTTTAAGACTGCCTCACCATAGCCTGTCTGTTTTCATTCTTTTATTGAATAAACCAGTTTGTCCACTCACATCATCAAGCACAGTTTTGTTACAATCAGACTACGTGCCGTCACTGCGCCATTAGTGTCTCTGCTGTAAAACTGCTCTTCGCTCACACTTGCCCAGCGACCTCGATCATATTTCAAAGGGAATGCGTTCCCCCATTAATGTCAATGGCAGTATCCCTCCCCATTAAAATCAAATGACTTTTTTCCCCCCAGCTAGAGTCTGTACAGTTTTGCTTCTCATTAAACATAGTGGCAGTATTCCTCTTCATTAAGTGCAATAGGATTTAACTCTGTGTTAAAATCATTAAAATCTACATTACTGACTGCTGCAAGCCAGCATAACGAATGATCTCTGCAGTGTTTCTGGACTGAAAAATGATTATAGATTGCATCAATGTTCATGAAAAGGTTAAAGTAGTCATGAAAAAGTCACATCCCTAAGAGAGGACCCTACAGGCCACCACTGTGCTTCAGGCTTTAGGACAGTATTGGGGTCAAATGCTATTTTTTAATTGAGGTTGTCTGTTTTGATTCATGTGTGTCTGCATTTATTTTCCTTCAGCTATCTTCCTTTAAGTGCAATCCTATGGATTGAAAATAAATGAATACTAAGGCAGGTCATACATGATTTTTTTTTTTTGTTCAATCGGCGGGTTGAATGAAAAAAAAAAAAAAAAATGAACCGACTCCCCCGTCCATGCACTCAGTGTGGACGGGGGAATCACTTTCACGGAGGGCTCTTCGCCGGCAGAATACAATGATCAGTGTTGCAGGCTACAGCCAGCAGCAGTGATTGTTCAGGAAAAATCTGACAGGCTGGTAGTACACAAGTTGATCAATAAATCGACTTGTGTACAACCAGCTAGCCTTTACATGGATTGAAATCTGACCAGTTCAGCAGGGACTGTTGATCCATGTATAGCTGGCTTAAGGTCCCTTGCACACAGGGCCATTCAGTGCCAGATCTCTGTGGAGGTCCCTAGTCAGTTGAAACCTTGGGGCCCCCCTTGCAGGTTTCTGCAGGTTTCTTGTGCTCTAGTGGGATAACATTGAGCTAAGTAGCGGGCACATTGAGGGCAGGATGGAGATGACCATTGCTACTGTACATTACACATACAAAGGTTACACCAAAATCTTTTACAAACTGACTGCTGAAAGAAGATGAGCTTTTAAGAGAAAAACTGTAATGTGAACCTGTTGTCTTTAGTTTATGTACATTAGGTACATTATATTAAAGTGGTTGGAAACTCAGACATGAAATATGAACAAAGCATATCTCTCTATAGTGTGTGCTTGTCTCAATTCAGAGCACTAAGTGTCATTTCTGTCCACTGCCTCATTCCTCTGCTATAAGCATCATTCACTTTTGATTAATTTTTTTGACACCAAGAGAAAAATGGTGACAGGGGAGGGTGCAGCCTGTGATTGACAGCCTCAGCTTTGTTCCTGTGTGCTGTGTGAAAGGGGTGCGTCCCTTCCCTCCAATCAGCTCTCAGTGCTCACCTCTCTTATGTAGGTTCAGCTCCCTGCCCCCTGCTTTTCAGTGCTGAGAAATCCTGTATAAATTCTGCATTTTTAATGGATGTAGGAGAAAGATGGCTGCAGATAAACATATACAACTTATATAGATGGATTTGTTTAACCACTTCAAGTCCGGACACTTTTACCCCCTTCCTGTCCAGGCCAATTTTCAGCTTTTAGCGCTATCACACTTTGAATGACAATTGCGCGGTCATACAACACTGTACTCATATGAATTTTTTAGCATTTTTTTAGACAGATAAAGCTTTATTTTGTGGTATTTATTCACCACTGGGATTTAAATTTTTTTTGCTATATAAATGAAAAAGTCCAAAAATTAAAAAAAAAAGTGTTTTTCTTATAACATTTTGCAAATAAATAATATTTCATCGTAAATCTTGGCCAAAATGTATTCAGTTATTTTTTTAGTAAAAAAATAATAACCCAAATTAGTTTATAATCAAAAATTATAATTTAAAAAAAATTTTTTTTACATTTTAATTTTATTTTTTTATATTGTTATTTATGTTTTTTTTATACATACTGTCACCCTAGCAGTACAGTGTCACCATGGTGACACTGTACTACTTGTGGGGGGTGATGAAGATTTTTTATTTTTTTTTTTTTACACTGATTGCTTTTACACCCATAAAAGCTGTAAAAGCAATCATTTCTCCTTCTCTCTGGCTGCATCCTTGCAGCCATTGAGAAATACTGTGTGAGCGGGGATTGGTCACAGCTTGTCACATGGTGCAAGGCTGTTGTGAATAGCCTTGTACCATGTGACCTCTGTGATCATTCACAGATTTCACACATAGTAAGCAATGATGTCACAGGTGACATCTTGCTTACTACTCTGCATATGATCACTGATTGACCAATCAGTGATCACATGATCGGGACCTCACACAGAGGTTCTGTACAACGATTGGTGTTCCACTGTGTTCGGAGGACACAGTGGGCACCGGATCGTGGTGCTGCACGCTCCCAGGGGGCGGGGAGGCCATTTATAAACGGCCACCCAACCCTGCACTGCCACTGTCTGGCCGTTTATATACAACGGCCGCACGGGAGGTGGTTAATCTCTGTGTATCACCTGAGGCCAGTCACTTCAGTGAGTGTATGTGAGGGTGTACAACCACTTTAATACAGTATTTTCGCTATAGAGTCTTTAATGTAAAGTTTTTAGTTGAGTGGATTAATTTTTTCCGTCTTTGGCAAACAAGTTAAGAAAGCTTTTCTTTCAAGATCAAATCAATCTTATCTTGATCAATTGTCACGAGGCCCTTAACCTACTATTGTCAAATGGTTAAAATCCAGTCATGACAAAGACACTGACGCGTTTCCCCGATGATTAAGTCCTCAATAGCTGAAGCGGATTACAGTCAATGCCATGACATATGCCCTCATATGGCAAAGAACTTGTATTTATGTCCACCCACATTTGAGAGTTACTCAGTCCCTTCACGAAGCATAGCCAGTTGGATGAGATCACTTTCTTAGCTACAGTTAATGAATACAGTGGTGTCACCTCCCTACCCCCTGATTAGACTGTAAAAGAGCAGCAGCAAACTGATGAGGTCATCCCTCTGCTCACTCTTAAGCATGTTTCTTTCCACCGTAGTTTCATACAGCATACCTGATTGAGTCCCTGTGCTGCCCTTCCTTCTCCAAGTCTGAGTGTTACTACAGGTATGAGCACTAGAAGTACACACAGCATTTAAAGTAACATTAAACTCTGGTTGAAAAATATCTTCTATTTAAGTATATATGCCAACTTAAAACAGTGCCTTCCTCCAGTTCTCAGCCTCCTCCAAACTTCTTTTTTTTCTGTTGTATTTTGACTTCTTGTTAGAAGATGGCTACGTTCATTCTCCATGGTCCCACTGTGTGTAGCCACACTCTTTTACTCGCTCCTGAGATGAACTAGGGACAATGGGATATATATTGTGCACACAGCAGTGCACATGACCACAACTCTTCCTCCTCTCCTACTCCTCTTACTGTCGGGGTCCCCCAAGGTTCTGTCCTTGTACCTCTCCTGTTCTCAATCTACACTTCTTCCTGGGGTCAGCTGATAGCTTCCCATGGTTTCCAGTACCATTTCTATGCTGATGACACACAAATATACCTCTCTACTCCACAGCTCACCCCATCAGTTTCCTCACATAACACTGATTTACTAACAGACATATCAGACTGGATGTCACGCCACTTCCTAAAACTCAGTGTATCCAAAACTAAGATCATAATATTTCCTCCCCCACGTGCCTCTTTCCCTGATATCTCAGTCAGGATCAATAGCACCACTATCAACCCATCCCTGCATGTCAGGGTGCTAGGTGTAACCCTGGATTCTGAACTATCCTTTCAGGCCCACATCCAATCCCTGTCCAAATCATGCTGCCTCAACCTCCGCAACATCTCCAGAATATGCCCCTTTTTAACCAATGATACCACAAAGCTCCTAATTCACTCCCTGGTCATCTCTCGCCTCGACTACTGCAACTCCTTCCTCATTGGCTTACCTTTATATAGACTATCCCCCCTCCAGTCCATCATGAATACTGCTGCCAGGCTCATCCACCTTACCAACCGTTCAGTTTCTGCTACCCCTCTCTGCCGATCCCTCCACTGGCTTCCACTCACTCAACAAATAAAATTCAAAATACTAACAACTTACAAAGCTATCCACAACTCTGCCCCCCAGCTACATCACCAACCTAGTCTCAAAATATCAACCAAACCGCTCTCTTTCGATCCTTCAAAGACCTTCTGCTCTCTAGTTCCCGTGTCACCTCCTCCCATGCTCGCCTCCAGAGCTTCTCCCATCCTATGGAACCCCCTTCCCCAATCTGTCCGGCTGTCTCCTAATCTATCCACCTTTAGACAATCCCTGAAAACCTTTCTCTTTAAAGAAGTCTATCTTGCTTCTACCTAGTAAACCACCATTTATTTCCTCCATCAGCTCATCCCCCACAGCTATTACCTTTTGTATCACTCAACCCTTCCTCCTAGATCAGTGGTTCTTAACCTGGGTTTGATCGAACCCCAGGGGTTCGGTGAGTCAGTCTCGCGGGTTCGGCGGAGGTGAAGACCCACACCCGACTCATATGATTCGTGCAGTAAATATTCATTATTATGTTTTTGTTTTTGTGTGAAAATCATGTTTTAATGGTTTTGTTCTTTGTTCTTAACGGTTTTGTTCATTTTGTGCACCTATGTATAAATATATACCTAAATATATACCTATGTTTTGAATTTTAAAAATCATATTTTATTTTTCCAATTAGGAAGGGTTCGGTGAATGCGCATATGAAACTGGTGGGGTTCAGTACCTCCAACAAGGTTAAGAACCACTGTCCTAGATTGTAAGCTCTAACGAGCAGGGTCCTCTGTTTTCTCTTGTACCAAATTGTATTGTAACTGTATTGTCTACCTTCATTTTGTAAAGCGCTGCACAAACTGTTGGTGCTATATAAATCCTGTATACTAATAATAATAATAACTAATGTGCACTGCTCAATCCAAATGGAGATGAGGCGGAAAAAGGAGAGGTTCGAGAGCTAACGAAGAAAGAAAACCACAGCAAGAATAAATTTCATGAAAAATAGATTATAGAGCCATTAAGTAGTGAATATGTATGGATTATTTTTGAATTTTGAAGAATAGGGATACAGTTTAGTGTCATTATAAACTTTTAAAGAACATTCTACCTTTTTTTAAAATTTGTTTTAGTGGCCTTTATTCTATCAGTTCTAACTTGATCATTAAAATAATAAATACATGTATTTACAGTGGTATGAATAGAGTGCTGTAGTACTGAGTGTCTTTTATATCTGTCTGGTGTTTGGCTTCGATATATTTTTCAGAGCACAGATCCACTTTAAATAGGCAACAATAGCAATCAGTAAAATGGTAACTGTTGTCTAGGAAATATTACAAGTGCGCTAAAATCAGAAAACCCATTTAGAAAGTAAACTACATTGTATTTTCGGTGAATATACATTTAGAGTTGTCATTTTAACGTTTACTAAATGACATTCTTTTTTTTTTTCTTGCCTTTTGTTCTGTATTTTGAATGTTTCAAGAGTTGATTTGTAAATGCTTACCTGAGTCACAGAATACAGTTATCATTCCCTGACTGATGACTGTGAAGATCCCCTGCAGCTGCACAGTCTGGGTGGATTTGGCTAAGGCAAGCCATTGAGGATGCAATTTTCTTTCTTCCAACCACAGGTTGCAGAAAAAAAAATCGCTTGATTTCCCCAACAACACAGTTGGTTGATGGGGGAATCCCTCCAGCAGCACTATTGTGTTCTGCCGACAGGGAGCCTTCCGTGCCAGCAGAACACAATGATCACTGCTGGCAGTTATAGCCGCCAGTAGTGATCGCATGCAAAATATCTGACAGGCTGGTTGTACTGAAGTCGAACAATGGATAGAATTCTGTACTACCAGCTTGCCCATAGATCGATCCAATCTCAGCTGAACCAGCTGAGATTCAATCCATCTATGGCTGGCCATATATTAGTAGATTTTCAAATGTTTGTACAAATATTCATACGAACATTTGTATGAAAATTCTCATTACATTCGATGACTTGACAAATGTCATTCGAAAGTACATCAAAATTACTGTTAACATTCAATTTTGGAATGAATATCATTTCCCCAATGAAAACTTTTGTTTCAGAAAAATTTTCCTTCCTGCTCCAAACTCATTGCTGCGTTCGAAAATGAGTGTCGAATTAACCCCACTATCAATTAGAAAATCAAATTATTATTATTCAGGATTTATATAGCGCCAACAGTTTGCTCAGCACTGTACAATATAACGGGAGACAATACAGCAACAATACAGTTCAATACAAGAGGAATAGGAGGGCCCTGATCTTGGGAGCTTACAATCTAAGATGAAATTCTTACAAACTTTGTACAGAAGGTCTGCAGGTTGCCATATTGTATACAGCCCTGTAGTTTGAAAAGGAAAGCCAATTTTTAATAACATACAATACAACTTGTATAGCAATTATATGCTATATATTTTTTTTTTAGATGCTATTTTTTCCCCACAAAAATGGAGTTAACCTGCAATATGGAACTTAGAGAAAGGGAGGAGCCTGATTCAGTCAACACACTGGCTTATGTTTTTCCAGGTTCACCCAACTATATTGATTTACCTAACAGGTGCAGAAGGTAAATGGCAAAATTAACATCAGAGACTTTTAGCAATTTCAATTCACAATTTTTATTTTTGGAATATACCTTTTAAGAAAATCAGTGCCAAGAAAAATAAGTAAAAATGTTCAATGAAAGTGCCAGGATGAAGAGTTGAGAGTCCAAAGTCTTAAAGGCGTTCATCCAAAAGAAGACAAAGCCAACATGTTTCAGGGCACAAAAAACTCTTCTTCAGGGCTAAAGATATTTTATGTAATCAGGACCGAAAATGGGACAGTCACTACCATTATTATTTAGAAGAAATATAACATGCCCAGGAACAACTAAGCAACTACTTAATTGCTTCTGGGTATTTTCATCTTCTTAGGGTGCATGCAATGCAGCATTTTTATCAGTAAACTGACCTGGAATACAGATTTTTCCTTTTTTTTCTACAGATCTGAACACGGCTGTATAGTTTTCTATGGGTTCATGCACACAGTTGCCTAAAGACCCGTAAACTAAATCTGTGTACACATCCGTTAAAAAAAAAATCATCTGTGGACAGCAATTTATGCAAGTAAATGTTTATAAATCCTAGACACAAATTGCTTCCTAGCAACAAAAGGACGCTAGATGGCTTTCTTGAGAACGAAGATGGTAAAGGGAAAACTTCACATGGGGACACCTATAGGATGCCAACAGAAAAGAAAAACATCTAAAACCTAAAAAAAGTAAGCATTAAAGTATACATAATCCCTCTCCTCAACCCATTCAGTTTAAAATAGAAATGAAAGGTAAAACATTTGTGTATAGATATAAAAAAAATGATAAATACCCTTTTCCCCCCCCATTTTTAAGTGATGGATTGTTCTCAGCTGCAGAAGCTCAGGCAGGAGAAGCAGCATCACACTGATCTTCCC